ACCTGCCTTCCTCCCTGCTCAGCACAGAGGACAAAGCCTAGTAAATTCCACTCCTTAGCCTAATACCTAACCTTCAGGCTTTTGCTAGGTGGCTTAGGTTGCCTTCTGTGAATCTGACCCAAACTCATTTTTCCTGAGGTCAGAGACCAACCCAAAAATAGACACCTCTTGAATTCCAGATCAGATTCTTGCCACTAGAAAATTCTCCATAAGAGCAGAATTTTTTTCAAATGCGTCATTACCAAAACTCTCAAAGCATCTAATCTTCCACTGATAAGCAATGGTCTAAATAAGCTAAATAACAACTAAATGTTTAAAGTAAAGATTTACAAGAGAGGATAATGGAAGCCAAACTGACTATTCAAAATGCCACTAACTGCATAATACAAACCATTACATTTTCAAGGGCCTTTTAGTACCCAGGCTAATTGAGGATACTATCTTTTAGAGGGTTTTGGTAAACTCACAACATAGGTAAAGCAAGATAATTTCTTGCAGGACCAGTATGACTAAGGGAGTTTATAAAAATACACACAACAAATACAGGCACTAGAAAGAAACCAGTATTACATTTATTATTCACAATCACAAATTATACATGTAGAATACAGAAGAGTAGAAAGAATTTCAGTTGTAATTCTATTATTTAACTTGCTCCCTTCTTTCAGGATTTCAAACTATGCTATCAGAGTCAATGCAGTGAAGGCTGGTATTGATCTTCACATCCACAACCTGTTCCTCACTGTACCTGCATCATAGATCTAGCTGGTTCATCGATCACATACATTGACAAACTGTCTTCAGCACAGCCCAGATGCCTTTTGACAGGACAACATGATGAGATGGAAACAATCCATAAGATTTCAGGGTGTTTAAAAGTTAACCAGGGCCTGTCATGGTGAGGTTTGATCTATCTGGAGGCGTTTGAGGCCTCTGCTACTTCCTATTCTGATCAGATGTTCTGGAGCAGGAACCCAAATCCATTTCAAAGACAAGCCTCATTCATTCCAACTCCATATTTTGGCTTAGACCACAATCCCACAACCCTTCCTACTCACCTTTCCGGTCTGTTTTTTGCTGACAAATCTGTATCCAACCATAGCAGCACCTCAGTCACATCACCTATCACAGTATAATATGTATTCTACCACATTCACATAATTTAAATAGACTATATTGCAACTCAAAGTGCAATTGAATTAACAGTTCAAAACAGTACATACTTCATATTTGCCAGGTTTAATTTTTAAAAAGACTGCAATGACAAGGAGTCAGGAGTTCACACTAATGTATAACAAAGCTGCTAGCAGACATAAAGCACTGACAGCCTCTATAATTTCATCCAAAAACTACAGGAGAAGCAAAACCAATGCACTTTACTTTTTCCTTGAGATCTCACACAACAAAAAAAATGCATTGCAACCATCCACAGCAATGAATTTGGACAAAAAGCAGAGTCAGCAGAGGAAACCTCAAACTAAATTGTATTTTTAGTTTGTCAGAACCAAGGTTCTCTATACAATAATATAAAGCCTATTTACATTGTCAGGTCTTTGGTCAGTTATCAATAGTTTTAGCATATACAGCAGTGAAATTATATTATTAATCACTGCAAATGCCTAACAAACACTTAATACTGACATGCTTTCATCTCAAAAAAAGATATGAAGAGACTCAAATCAATGCTCTGTGTATAAAAGCCAAAAGTTTGGTTTTTTTTTTTAATTATTACAAAATCCAAATACTAATTTTGATCCCACGTATCCCTTTTCATCACAGTTGAAATCAGGTTCCTAGCAAAAAAAAACTGTTTGAGCCTACCTTTCAATAGAAATGCAACTCCAAAGTATCTGTAATGTCTATAATAAAGCAAGGTGGTATCTGTATACATTTAAAATTAATAACAAGTACAGCATAATCCAAAAAGTACTTACGACTGGCAGTAAGCAAGGCGTAGTATAAAATGAGAGATATGATCTTTTCTTCTTGCCTCATAATCATCTTCAGCCAAAGCCTACAGAATATATTGTTATTATTTTAGAGAAATAATTTCTCCCAGATTAAAAATTCACAATTAATTTACCACTGCTGTTCAAGATTGTCTAAACTCATCTTTTAGGCAATAAATGCAAACTATTAAGGAAGGAGGTAACCCTAAAGAAAGAAATATATATCCTAAAAGAAAAACTACATCTCTGACAAAATGACAGAACTGCAGTTTTAGAAATAGCATTTCATCACCTCTACTTTTATTCATAATTCTTGAACGGCGTAAAGAAAATAAAGTGCAAAAGAGTTACATGTTCCAACTTTTACTTACTCTGTAGGGAAACTTAAGTTTCCGGAGCTCATTCTCCAGCTTAGTTTTGTACGAATCAGTACTTCTTACATAGCTCACACCAAGGTTTTCAACTACTTTGAGCACTGGGCAAAAAAAGAAAAGGTCCGTGTTAGAGAGAACATGTTGAAAAGAAATCTAAATGTATCACAGCTTGGAAAAGGCACAAACTAAGGTAAGGCCACAGGAACTGCTTTTAGCGGTAGGAGGAGCAAAAGGGTGAGAAATGTAGAGGATAATGTGTGGCCTACGAGTCCTTAACAGCTGGCCCAACTCCGGGATCCACAGAGTCACAAGGAAAGGGAGACAGCTAACTGATGGATCACTCTCAGGACATCCGTTTCCACCGTAAAGACAGACACCTTGGATCACGCAGTTTTCAGGAATTCAGGGGAATCCTTGGCTCCCCACCTGAATCGCAGTCCTGAGAGACATCAAATGTGTCGCAACACCCATAGAAAGTGAAACGTGGTCGTAAAAACTACCAGTGTAAACCAAAACTACACAGTCCCGACATCTACACCGAATGCTTATGGTGAAATCTGTCTCAGCACCCTGAAATGCCCAAAGCAGCGCGCTTCCCTTTAGCGGGGGCTCCTGCCAGCACGAGCAGCAGCCAGCTCGCCTTCACATCCCGCAAAGGGAGCAACCGGGCCCGCCAAAAACACACACAGCCTGACAGGAACGGTAAAAAGCATCGAGGGAGGGCAGGGAGGAGTAGGGAGAGAGGGAGGGAGGGAGGGACGCTACTCACGCCTCAGGCGGTCGATGGCAAAGCTCTCGAACTCCACCAGCGAGATGCTTTCCGTGGGGGGCTCCAGGTAGAACTGCAGGCTGTGAGGGTACAGCTCCCGTCGGTCCCCAGCCAGCCGCAAATGCTTCTGCCTCGTTCGGCTGGAGAACTCCATCTGTGCCGCCCCAGAGCTGCCTCTGGCCCCGTCCGGTCCCGACCGACCCCCGCCCGCCGAGACACAGCGAGAAGCCCAACCTGCTCCCGGCCCGAGCCCCGGCTTCCCGCGCTCCGCCGGCCACGCCCACTTCCGCGATGAGCCGCGCCTGCCGCGCTGCCATTGGCCGGCGGCAGTGAGGGGGCGGGGCCCCGCTCTCACGTGCCCACACCCGTCATGGCGGCTCCGTGCACGGCGGGCGGAACCTGCTAAAAGGTGCCCGCACCCGGCATGGCGGCTCCGAGCACGGGGGCATCCTGGCGTCTTCTACAATTGTATCGTTTTGTCATTTTTCCACGATACTGCAGGATTTGCCATTTCTGCCGCCGTGTTGACCATTTTTGCTGCAGCTGGGGTTATGTTATGTTTTATGTCCCTGCCACAAAATGCCACTTACTCGCTAATTTTTTCCCCTACCGGAAAAGTTAGTTAATGATCTTGCAACAAATTCAGAGTGTTAAGGGGTGGGAAATCAGAACTGACATATAGTTTGTGCTCACAAAGTGAGGAAAATCAGTAGGTTATGCTGGCAAGTTCTTAAGAGGAATGAAATGATCATGGACCAGGACACACACTGGTCTTGTGTTCGTGGGCAACACCTGAGACATTCCGAAGTAATCCGACTGCAGCTTTAACAAGCACTGCGACTGGCAGCCAGCCTGCAGCTGCAGACTGCTTCTGTACTAGAAGATTAAACAAGGTGCTGAGCTCAGCTGATGCAGGATAGTCCACTCCATCCTTCAAAATAAGGTGGCCACATCCACATTGCCTACAGAGGATATTGATGTGCTTGTGCTAACTCTCAGACTGTGAAGTGTGCTCTTTGGTCTGGGCCAAACTCTGCCAAGGGGCCATGGGAACATTTTAACAGGACAGAAAATCAAGCTTCAATCTCCAGGACTGCTCTGTAGTTTTCCAGGAAAAAAACATGCTATTGATATATTTTGATTTAGTGATAATTTTATAATATATTTAACCCAAAGCAAGTTCATATCTTTATATGTATATATGTATATAAAGCAACCTTAATACAAAGCAACCTTTTTTTCAAATAGACACTGCTCGTCCCACACAGTTTCTTCCCTTCTCCACCTGGCTGCAACATGAGTTGCTCAGGAGTAGGAGTGCATCTGCCAAAATCCACCTAGTATTTGCAAGAAATCAGCTTTTGCCTTTGACCAGTGTGTTAATACCCAGAGACTGACAGTGGGTAGACTGACCTGACCAGGGCAGGTCAGGTCAAGGAGTTTGGTCAGGTTCCCGCATTTGTTTAGAGTGCTGTACCTGGCCTCGACTGGAGGGGGAGAAGTGTGACAATTCCAAAGAGTACAGCAGAAAACAACGATACTTTTCATTTTAATTAAATTTCCATTCATATTTTAGGGTTTGGCACATAAACAGTACTACACCTTTTGAAATCATGGTATGCAGTTTGCTGGCCATCACTATTTCTACTGAACCACGTCCTGCTGATTTTTAACAACTCAGCAGCTATGTCTATGTCTGCTGTTTTACTTCTATTTTTTTTCATTTATTGCTGAATATTGATCCTGAAATTGTCTGTAATTAGGTGAAATCTATCCTGTTTGGGTTTTTTGAAGTTCACTTAACTAATAACACTAAGAATATTGCAAAATATCATAAGATTACTTCAGCAGAAATTAAGAATCAAAATTAACATCTATATTACTAGACTTAAATGCTATATTACTAGACTTAAATGAATCTTACAATGCAAGACCTTACCTTGTCACACACACCAAAAAATATTGGGAAAAGAAAATAGGAAAAAAAAGTGAAAATTTATCACCTTGATAAAACTCCCCAAATTTAGTACTTCAAACCTTCTTACTGATGCATTTATTGACACCTACAGATAGTAATACTTCTCACTATAGCATTTTGGCTACTTTTTTTTAAAGTATATTTTCATCACTCCCACAGTAACATTACCAGTAGGGGCTGATTTTTTAAGTATTTTTAAGATAATTATTGATTTTGTAAAAACCCACCTCACAAATGTTTTACAACAACATCCATATGGTCAGCTGTCAAACTGTCCCAATCATCCCATCCAAACACAGTCCAATTTAGCATACCCCAAAATGTTCTGCTACTTAATTAACACAGTGTTGGGAGCAAAGGGTTAAAAGTGGGAAAATGAGGAGGAGGATGGTAGATTTGCTCAGGTGACCTTGAAGCTGGGAATGCCAAAGCCTGGAGAATAACAGTGTGGGAAACCCCATATATTGTGCCTACTGCTGCTTATTCTGTCTCTGTTTTGAGAAGATTTCTGTGTAGAGATAATGTAGGTGTTTTGAGAGACTTTGAGGCAGTCTCATGGACATGTTTGAGCTCCCTGTTTCAGGAAAGATTAAAGCTTAAAGATCATTAAAAAGCTCAGGGGAGATCACAGCATAATGGTAAACTATGCGTGTGTGGGACCTTGATAAATTGGGGCAAACAGCAATCCTGATGCCCACCAGCATGGATTGAGCTGGGATCCTCCAGTTAGCAAGGTAATGAAATAAATTTTCTTTTTTTATTTCAGCCATGGTTTTGTGGTTCTTCCAGCAGCCTGCCTGTGTCCACACACACACATGCAAAATCCTTACTTGCATTAAATATATATCATTGCACAGTTGCTACTCTCACTTTTGTTATATTTTTGTTATATATTTGCTATATTAACTCGCAGAGTGTCCAATGCTAATCTGTTAGAGCCCAGTTGTTCTCTATTTGCATAACTATATCTGCTAATAAAAGGGTAAATATGGTGATGCTGGTATCTAGTCTCTCTTTCAAGCTGTCCCCTTCATCCATCATGTCTGGGATGTTTGGATCTCTGTGGATAGCAGAGATGAGTACAAAATGTCCCTTCTCTGCTTCTGGCTCACTTTCAGCTCTTACTGTTACTTGACAATCCTATTTACTGCCTGACTGAATTCTCATGTAATTCTGTCTTGAGATATATTGTCTTCATTACTTGTTTTTTTTTATGTTTTCACCTCTTAAAATGTTCTTCTTGAATAATTGTTCTTTTGCTTATACAAAATATTTATTTACATATTTTCCCCTCTATTAACTCTATTCCTTTACTGATCTGACTTTTTCAGAAATCTTAACAAGCTTACACTTTTAGTGCATTTATGTCATTTCTAGCACAACTTCTCTTTTCTTTTTTCTCTTTTGCAGTTCTCCATGCTTTTTATTACTTCTTTAAATGTTTGACATCTGGATTATACTGAGACTTTTTTCTGACCACAATGCACAGATACTTCTGTACTTACTATAAATAGCAGGGTAAATGTTCTGAGCTGGCCTTTAAATTCCTGCAGGCTCTGAAGTGAGTAAAGCATGAATCATTCAGTGAAGAGAGGTTCAGGGGCTACTTTAGTTGTAATACACTCTCAGTGTTAATTTATTTAAGTGGGGAGTAACGATAGTCGCATCCCTTGTGACACTCTAAATCTCTCTGGCTCCCCTTACTCAGGGCTTTTGAATCCTGGATTTATTTCCCAAATCCCCTGTCCAAGACCCTAGTGCAGAGGCAGAGAAAATCTAGATATATCTTCCCAACCTTCTTATATTTATCCTGACAGGCAGATCTATCATCCACCTCTACCCCTCACTGCATGCATCTTCTTCAGTATGTTCAGGCTGCTATAGCAAATATGCTCACTGCATCCTTCTCCTGCTATTTATCATTTTTGATCCCTTAGCATAATTTTTCAGTGTACATATCAAGGCAAAATCTGCCATTTCCCTGCACTAGGCTTCTCCAAAAGGATGTCACTCTTGTACTCCATTACAAAATGCTCCATGTGCATGAAATAATTTTGCCTGCCATGGTGGGGCTCAGGGCAGGGAGGAGGGAAGTGACCTGGTGTTTTTTTCTCTTGGTAATCTTTCTCTGATAATTTTTGAGCATCAAATCAATGTTAAAGAGAGAGGTTGAAGCATCAAAAATAAGATGTACTCACAAATTTGAGAAATTAGAGCCTGAGCAAAGAAAAGAGAGGGAGATTCATGGGAAAGAAAAGCACAACTTGGCCTCTTTGGTGTGTGGAGCAGCAGCAATCAGACAGTTAACACAAACATCCTGGCCAGTCAGTGTAAATACAGCTTGAGCTCAGCCACTGCTCCATCGTCTTCAGACCGACAGGGGAAGGTTTGAACTATCAAGAATCAAGACTAATAAAATAGAATTCATTTGCAGACTTAATTTATTCTGCTGCATAAGGATCTCCTTCTTTTTCCTACTATGTCTATTTTTATCGTATTTAAATTGGGAGTTTCTGAAACACAAAAAAATTTTCAGTCTCTCTATCTGTAGGGGTATTGATGTTTTCTTTTCTTGGAAATTATTACCACTAAACTAATTTACAAGAAGTAAATGCTTTTGTTAAATATAACATTTAAAATTTATTGCAGTTCTAATACTATCCTGAGAATGATTAAATTTCTACCTGTATAGCATTAAAGAAAAGGATGTTTTCTTATCAAGTAATCTGTAGGTGATCGAAAGATTTCATTAACTCCAAAAGTATTGCTATCCAACATAAAAACTAGACATAGCTATGTATCTAGAATTTTTTTAATCATATGAGGAATTATTTGTCAGCATTCAGAATAATGCAAAAAATAAAGTTTAAAGTATTTTTGCAAGGAAAATGTCTTATTGTCTGAAAAATTTTAAATATTATTCTTTCTCAGTTAAAAGAAATCCAACCACTGCAGTTGAAGGATTTTGTTCAGCCCTTTTGGCCTTTAATTAGGGGTATTGTATAATACAAACTTGGCCATTTTTTAGCAGATCTCCTGTTTTAAGCCTATGACTTGAGCATGAAAAAATGTCCTGTTCATCCTGACACACACTGAGTGTTCAAATACCCAGTCACTGCGTAAAACAGTCTGCAAAATTCCATCCTAATAGTAAGTAGCCAACTGCCTTCCAGTTGCTAATAAATCTCTGTGTTAGACTTCTCTGAGCACTTACACCATTACAAGTGAAAACCTCCAAAATAAACATCAGGGTGGGATCCAGTCTGCCTAATCTAGACACTAAGCCTACACCTACCTTTTAGCTCTTCTTTAAAGGAAATAGTTTCCCATGGAATCCTTGAAAAGAGGTACGTATCCTGCTGGCCTCCGAAAGGACATCTAGCCTGCCTAAATTTAGATGGGTAGGTAGCTGATTTGTTTTCCCTTTGTTTACCTCAAGTTTGTTTGGGTTTTTTGGTCTTTTTCAAATGTAAGTGATGCTTAGAAGTGGAAACTTAAGTATTTTTGCAAATTAGGGGAAAAATGTCTCCCTAGGTCCTCTTCCCCATTCGGAATAGATACCAGCATAAGAGGTAACATCTACATTCCCTGTGTAAGAAAAATTCCAAACTAATTGGAAGTTGCCTCAGCAAGATATATGAGACGAAGATGGTTAATAAACATACTAGCCAATTCTTGAGCCACCTTCTTACTATAAACTAAATATATTTATGTATTAGGTATAACAGCCTCTGCGTTCCCATCCAATGGTGACTGATCTCATTACCTTGCAGAAGGGAAGAGATGATACACTCAGGGAATAACCAAGAGTGTTAATTTATCTAGAGGCCTGTGAAAATCTTGGTTTTGCTTTGAATACCATGGCAGCCTGAAAATTCTACACAGAGCAATGAGAAAGTCAAAGCTGTAGGAGAGGAGTACAGAGCAGGCAGTCTCAAAAAGGGAGAGACAGTCACAGGTGTCCTCAGCAGTATGCTGGTTACACTGCCATCCCTACCTCCTAAATCACTTCATCTGCCATTCCTGTTCACTTAGAACAACTCAGTCCACTCTGACAGCTTCTGGGCCCCAGGAACTCATAATGTTCATTTCCACTCCGGTCCCATCTGTGTGGGTTGTCATAGGTGTGTGCGCGCGTGTGTCCCTGTATTTCCTTCCTGCTCTCTGTCTTCTGCATAGGTAGCACTTGTGTCACTGTCTGCAGAGATTCCCCAGTTCCAAATATGTGCAGGTTTTCCTCACTTGTAGGCAGCAGTAATGCAGTAGTTGGAGTGATAGTAGTAACCCCATCACCAACCAGCCTGGTGTCCTGAATAATGTCACCATAGTTCACTTTGTGCCCTCCCCACAGCCAGTCCTATTTCTTCCCACATTTCTTTTCACCAGCATCACACTTACTAACCTGCTTATTCTGCATCTCCAGGCACTTCCCATTCAGCAGTCGCAGGTGAAACAATCTAGACTCTCTTCTTTATCATGGCTCCACCTCAGCCTTGCCATCCAAGGAGTTCAGTGTCCCAGGAAGAGAAGCAGAGCTCCCACCTTCCAGCCCTCTGCTCCTCCAAATGTAGGCATAGACCAAGTAGGGAACAGCAGCACCTTTCTGGTGCAGTCTCCTGACAGTACTGAAATTCAAAGGAACACATCAGAAAAAGAGCTTTTCTGAAAATTCGGTGATGTGATATGTAAAAAGAAGAGGGAGGAGGTAATGATACTTTAGATAATTAAAAATACATTTGCTCTTACAGATTATTGACATCGGAGGCAAAAGAGTAGCCTAACTTCCCATTGCATTTATCCTTCTTCATAGTGTTTTACTTCAGTGATTTTAATTGAGCATTTTTCTCAGAACCTGGTATAAAAATATCTGCATTCACTCATAAGATTGCTGTCTCGCTCACTAAGTTAAGTTGGACTCATTAACTTCCTCTTTTAAGGTTGCTATGACACACTCTTCAAAGTTCAAGTGTAATACCCCAAATATTGAGGAGTTTTCACTAGCAGCAAAAGAACTCATTCTTTCTGACATTTTTGATCTTCAAAAAGACTGAAAAAAATGCCTGGCTGACCAACAGAATTTTCATATCAATTTGCTTTTGTTGTTGGGACTCTCTACTAGCCTGTTTGTCAGCCACATTTTTACTTCGGGATATTGTCTTTTCCATGCATAGGTCTGGGAAGACAACTGGCTGGTATCTTTGAATATCTGTAAAAATACTTAAAAATTAGATAGCTCTGAAAATTCAATTCTACAATTTCTATGTTCTTTTTGTGATTGTCTAATCATTTTCCATCAGTGACAACTGTCTGTTTTAAATCGTGCTGTACTGGATCGTGGATTGACTGTAAGGTGCTTACTCTTGGTCTACAGAAAGAGACTGGCCACACAATTAGAAAAAATAGAATAGGCTCTACAATTTAGTTTTTCTGCTTTGTTTTTTTATTAGGCTTTATAGCCAGAAGGAAATATATTTAAACTTCCTATATATGACAGATCATAGAATTCATCCACTGTATGGACCCCTACAATTAAAATTAGTCTAAGGTACCTGGTTTAGGAAAAAGTGGATCTTGGGATCTTTCAGTAAAACTCAAATCCAAATTTTTTGGAGTAAGCTTGAAGTAAAAGGGAGATCTGGTTGTGTCAAAACTTAGTAAAGCCCACATGCTATGGTCACAAGAACATGGAACATATTACATATCTGAAATTTTGCAGCAGGACATTGCAAACAAAATCAATAATTATTTATTCACATACAGTAGCAAGACTGGGGCTAGTAGAGACTACAGTTTCTTTTAATATGTTTATCAAAACGTGTGGGGGGAGTTCCCTGCAGTTTAGCTGTAACATATTACAAAGTCAAATTTTATTGTCTTGTTGCTTTTAAGTAAGGGTAGCTTTTCTTAGTATAAATTCTTTCCCCCCCTGCTTGCAATGGAAATACAGAAGACTTACAGAGGGCAGCCTGGTAAACACAGAGACAGAATATTTCCACTGTGATCTGCACAAAGAAGTTCCTAAGTTGTGTGTATGTTTCCCAGTTGTGCTTTTGCTTTTATTGGTGCTAGTTAGAATCATAGAATCATAGAATCGATTGGGTTGGAAAAGACCTCCGAGATCATCGAGTCCAACCCTTGGTCCAAATCCAGTCCATTTACTAGATCATGGCACTCAGTGCCACGTCCAATCTGCGTTTAAAAATCTCCAGGGATGGTGAATCCACCACCTCTCTGGGCAGCCCATTCCAATGCCTGATTACTCTCTCTGTAAAGAATTTTCTCCTGATATCCAACTTAAATTTCCCCTGGCGGAGCTTAAGCCCGTGCCCCCTTGTCCTATTGCTGAGTGCCCGAGAGAAGAGACCAACCCCCACCTGGCTAGAACTTCCCTTCAGGTAGTTATAGACGGTGATGAGGTCACCTCTGAGCCTCCTCTTCTCCAGGCTAAACAACCCCAGCTCCCTCAGCCTCTCCCCATAGGACTTATGCTCCAGTCCCTTCACCAGCCTCGTTGCTCTTCTCTGGACCCGCTCCAGCACCTCAATGTCCTTTCTGAACTGAGGGGCCCAGAACTGAACACAATACTCAAGGTGTGGCCTCACCAACGCAGAGTACAGGGGAAGGATCACTTCCCTGCTCCTGCTGGCCACGCTATTTTTGATACAGGACAAGATCCCATTGGCCTTCTTGGCCACCTGGGCACACTGTTGGCTCATGTTGAGCTTCCTGTCAATTAGTACCCCCAGGTCCCTTTCTGCCTGGCTGCTTCCAGCCACTCTGTGCCCAGCCTGTAGCGCTGCAGGGGGTTGTTGTGGCCAAAGTGCAGGACCCGGCACTTGGCTTTATTGAACTTCATCCCATTGGAATCAGCCCATCTCTCAAGTCTATCCAGATCCCTCTGCAGAGCCCTCCTGCCTTCCAGCAGGTCGACACTCCCTCCCAATTTGGTGTCATCAGCAAATTTGCTGATGATGGACTCAATCCCCTCATCTAAATCATCAATAAAGATGTTAAACAGGACTGGACCCAACACAGACCCCTGGGGAACACCACTAGTAAAAAAAAAAAAAAAATGACCGGGAATCGAACCCGGGCTGCGGCGGTGAGAGCGCCGAATCCTTCCCAGTTAGTTCCAAATTTCTTGTCTTACTTTCCTCCTTATGGGCGTGGACACAGATTTAGTATTTATGTCTACATCGACGTGATCTCAGCCTGACAGTACTTATGGAAAGCTGGAAGATTTATTGGCAGAAAAGAGCCTGTTGGAAAAAAATCTGGGTAGTGGTAATTGGAGAGTGAGTCAGTGTCTGGAGTCCATCTGTGCTTCCTACAAAATCCTGACTAGGGCTGAGTTACTCAGATTTCTTCAACTATCTGGAACTGGCTTATTTAAAAAAAATATAATTAGACTTTATGCATGCTGGATAAATCTTTGGCTGAGACCATTTGTATAAAGGCAGCAAATTATCTTTCTTTCTTCTTATTGTTGTTAGTATTGCAGTGCTGTGCAAGAGCCATACTCTTATAGAAGCAATTCAATGTACACACACAAACCAGCATGTCTGAAGGACTGCGTGGCATAAATAGCTCAAAATGCACCAAAAATAGTTTGATATGCCATCAGTTCTGTGACTAATATTATAAAAACACCTACATCCTGACCCTGGGAGGCAAAGTATTGCTATTTCTTATTCCACACGTTTACAGCGGTAGAAGCGTAAGAGGCACAGGATTGGTTCCTAGTTGGTGTTATTTTAATTAGCAGGTTGTATTACAAGGCTTGCTTCATCAACATTCCAAACATTGAAGTTCTAACCTTTGAACAATACATTATTTTAAGGAAAAGGGCATTTCAATATCTTTAGAGAATATTGTCAAACTACATACTGAATTTAAAGCAGATCTTATAAAACTAAGGTTTTAAAAATCCATCATTTTTATCTCTGTTACCATACTAATAAAAAGTTACTTCCAGTGAAATGTTCTTCACATATTGCAGCAAGAACCTCAAAGCGTTACAGGGGATATTTGTTACTTAATTTTATTGCCAAGACTGAAAGAAAAAAAACAAAGAATAAATTGATTGTGAGTCAGTCACATTTTTTCATTTCTTTGCACTTTAATAATTCCTGAAAGTTTAGAAACACAAGGAAGGATTTTTTGGGGTTTTTTACATGAAAACAAACATTTAAAACAAAAGAAGTTAGTACAGACAAGCTGTTACAATTTTGGACAACAGACACAGAGAACAGGATGGTAACAGTACTACGTGAGCCACAAAAAAAGTCAGGATTGAAATTTATGAAAAAAATCTATCAAACACTGGGAGTCTTATTTAAAAGAGAAAAAACCTTTGACAGTCAACTGGAAGAACATTTTGAGGCAACATTCACATATTCAGGCTAAACTTTTGCCTTTAGTATGATACCTAAAACAGTTCCAGTTCATATTAAAACATGACCTGGTTGACCAGTTTCTTTTCTCCATTTTTGGCTTATTCCTTGCAATTAGAATTGTAGATAAGTAGCCCAAAATTTCAGGAGAGCAAAACCTTACAAGATAGTGTCTTGTATTTGTTATAGGTATTTATAACACTGGTATTTATAACACAAGTATTTATATTTCTGGAGTTTTAGATCGACTAGAGAATTTAAATAAAGTAAAAACAGAAGGGAAAAGATAACCAGACATGCTGTCCTTTCCTCTCTGTCCCTATTACTCCACACAGATGTTTCAAAACTATTCCTTCCAGCTCTGTGTAGATATAAAGCTAGCAGTGCCTGCAGTGGTGTAGAAAGCTGGATTTCTGAGTAGCTTTTTTTCAGATGGGAATGGAGAATGACCCACTCAGTCTGCAGGAACAGGTCACTGGAAAAAGAAGATCTCCCTGAAGTATCAGGGACCTGGCATAATTCCTACACTCTCTATGGCATTAGAAGTACAGCACTTATTCTATGCTTAGGAAAACATATACAATTTGCCTTTTTATGGATCATCATTTTTTCTTTCCCCTAGCATGCCTGCAATCCTCTTCTCTATTTCACACACAGCCTCACCCTCTTCCCCATTGGTGTTTCCTAGGTCCTCCTTTTCTTCCTCGGTGCCTGAAGATCATAGTGCATGTGCTGTGCATAGCCTGGATATTGATTCCCAGGTAGTGGCTATCAAAAGTGACAGATAATTTCAGTTGTCTTGCCTCCGATGAACATACATCTGCGTCTCTTTCTTCTACTTAGCTATCAATTTTCAGAGATGTTGAATGTTTATCATCTCCAAGATGTTTATCTATTTATATTACTTGGAATTTACCATTACCAGCTGACGACTCAAACAGAAAATTCTTCTGCTGCTGTTGCATTAGCAATAGTCTGAAAACACAGCTAGCAGAGGTCAGCTGTGTGGACACTATTTACCACTCAAATAGTGGGTTCCTGTCTTCATCACAAAATATTGCACGGAATGGGGACAATGCTGGGAGCTGATACAGTACCTATCTTGCAAACTCCTAGCACATTGTCTGTGATGAGATAAAAATAAGACCTCTTGTCATGATATTTCTTTCTCAGTTCTCTTGTACGTCTTACAGAAGTGTGACGGAATGATTCACGGACTTCTGCCTTGATGG